TAAAACTACATTATTTTATTTTTTATGATATACGAATTAAATGAATTTAAATTAATAAATTTGTTAAACTAATTTTACATTATAACCGTATTTTTATTTTTGTCGAAAATAACAATGAACATTTGTTTCGGCGGCCCTCCAATTTGTATAATGATTTGTATTGGCCCGAGATCCCATCTGATCTGGACAGCCCTGAACTATACAATATATGTAAGTTTTTCGAATAGATGCTATTCCGGTATTACTAAGCTTTTTTATTGGAGGGGTGTTAGCTAGCATTTTTATATTTAAAATTAATAAATTAGAACTTCGGACTGAATCTTATTTCTTCGTTCCGTTTAAAAAAAATAATATGTTAGCTCGGTTCCAATGTTTATTGTAATTGCAATTCTTCAGTTCAACAGTGTATATTATGTATCTGGATTAAGTTGAGTTTTAATTTTATTGTTGTATTATTTTACTAATGCTGTTGAAGGTAACTATATTTTAACTATATAATTGTTGTTTTTCTTAAACATTAGTGAACTTAGATTTTATTTTTTTAAATTTTAATACACACTATAGTACTATATATATGTGTTGTACAAATTTAAAGAATTTTATGTTTAAGTTTTATACTATAAAAATTTTTGAGAATAGTACTTGTATTTACAATATTATAAAATCTTAACGCTGCAATATATTCGCAAAACAGAAAACATTACCTCCACTACTGTAAAGTGAAGAGAACTGGAATTTGTTACTTAAGGCTATTTTCCTAAACGTTGTACATGATTTACACTTCAATAATTTCATGTTGAGTAGAATCGATAGCGCTTCTGTTAATAAATACTTTATTACAGGGATATAGACGTAAGCTTCTTATAATGCATAATAATAACAATAAATTATCGATCGATTGTCGATGATATGTAAACACTTGTGATTAATTTTAGCTTGTGGCTACACTTGCTGATTGATCATTTTTCGTTGTATTTTAAAAGTAAGTCATGAACAATTTGTAGAGTCATATAAATTACTTGGTGTACACATACTATCTTTAAACAACAAATTATTTTATATGTTTTATAAAAGCAAAAAGTCAGAAAATACCATAAACATTAATTATGAACGTTTGTTTCACTTCTGTGTCTTTATAACTCTACGATAGATATCACATAATCTAGTTAATTGGCTAGGCATGACAATTGTATTGCATCCGTCAATTTATTGACAGGTATAACATGCAATAATTATCAACAGGATTAGTTACATTGTAAGTGAAATATGCGCGAGTATCTGAAATTGAATGTGGCTACTTTGTTCCATATTAAGTATAGTAAAAGCTGGTTTGGAGTAAGAAGATTTGTAAGGGCTTTCATAAATAAAATAATGGCTTCTGGTTCTGATGTCATTTATGATGGATTACCGGCCTTTGACCATGATTTTCGTATTAAAATATATAAATAATATTATTTATTTATTTCTATTTGAGCCAGTGTACTTTTACTCTCTCTTAACACGAGGTATTTTTAAAACCACTCTTACGCTTTGACTGCATTATTGTTTATCACTTCATCAGACTAAGCAATAATTGACCTCAGATCTGCTTTCCTCCCCGAGGAGCCTGTAACCATTCTGAGATTTGATGATGCGGTTTTGGTAAGTCTGTTTTCGCAAATAATTTCAGGGCTCTATCCTTTACGTATTTTTTAATGGGATCAATCTTGAGGTCCCTGAGGATGTCATTCGTCCTAATGTACCATGGTACTTTGAAAAGTCTTCTCAGAGCCTGACTTTGTGCAATTTCTAGCTGGCGAATAGTAGTGTTTAATATTATAATAATATAATATATAAATATATATATATATATATCTATATATAAATATTTCGTAAGTATTTTAGTATTAAATCCATTTTTAATCGTTCGTAATGATTCGCTTCATTAATGGTTCGATTTTGTTGTATATTAGCAGCGTTTCGTGGATGGTAATTTGGTTAATTAAATTTATTTTGTGTTTATTCATGAAGTATTCAAACATCTAGCATTTTTGCGTTGGCTACTATGTATGTTTTCAAATTATTCCCAACTACTGTGTGCTTGATGTTAAGTGTCTTCGTTGGTTTTGCTGCACCAAATAGGTCTTGTAAAATTCAGTTGATTTTTTTAGTGACTGGTGGATGAGAAAGAGGTACATTTTTGATATCGAAATTTTTGGAATGGAATAGAGGAAACGACTGCTGTAGCCGACGTTCCGATACAACATCTAAATCGTAAATCACTCAAATTTTTCGACATATTTTTGTATACTGTTTCTGATTTTATAGTAATGAAGCATCACATAGCGTATTTAATCAGTTATTTCACTCATTTTCAAATCTATATAACTTTTTACATAAGTAATGAATTAAACAACCGCCTCAATACCTTGAAATATTACCTTTCCAACACGTGTTCATTTGAAATAATCGGATTAGTGTTGCCAGATATAAAGGTACCAACACCATTTAGTGACAAAAAACAGCGGAGACATTTTAGTAGTGCAGGTTAAGATATTCTGATAGATAACCTGCCATCAATTTTAGCTCTATTCTATTGAGAAGAGAACTCTATTTCTAACATTTCTAACATCAGCGTAATGTACTTCTTTTGTAAATTAATAATTTATAGTACACTATTCACATTTTGATATTTATTTTTTTTTTATTTATGAACAGTTATGAACATTAAGTGGAATAATTGAAATGAATGTACAATATTGTGTAGCGTATATGCAAATATATCATAAAATAAGATTCAGTTGTTATATTTGGGTTAATTAATTTTTATTCAAGGAAAATATTATAATACGGGGACGCGGTTTACATTGGCCGAAAATGGCTCATTTTGAATGAGCCATTTGAAAGTGTTTACATTCGTTCTATTTCATTTGTTCTCATTTCAACATCTAATTTTTCAACTTGCATGTTGATTTGATTTTTGGCCTGTGCCAAAAAAATGTTGCATGAAGGTTAAATATGCCTTCAAACCTTACAATATAAACTGAAAACTTGTTTCTAGATTCGATTTATTTATTTTTGGGAAGTAGAAGTTCCAAAAATTGGTGCATCGTTTTAAAGAAAATGCAACCACCAAACATTTTTTTA